GCCCGGCCCTGACAAAAAGCCCGAAGCCCGAGCCCGAGCCCGAGTTCGGGCCCGACCCTTCTTCTTCTTCTTTCCTTAGTACGGACTCCCTTTTACCTTATTGGGACTCACCGTTGCCGCCGGTGATTGTATTCGTCGGAGAGTTCACGATGAATTGGTGACTGTGGTCTATGAGCTACGAGCTTGACCTGCGATTTTGACAATGATCACTTGATCAGTTCGCGTCAGAGAGAGAGAGAGAGAGAGAGAGAGCTCACCGCCACCGCCGGAGCTGTTGCGCCGGTGAATGTTCGCCACCTCGCTGGTTGTGGCTGCTTGAGAGTGTGAGGATGAGAACTGTGGAGTGTGGAGGATGTGGAGAACTAGAGATTGGAGATGAAGGGTCGGCTAAAAAAGAATGGGAAGAGGCATAGATGTCTCGACTAGGGGTTTTATTTAGGTTTAAGTATAGGTTGGGCTCGGGCCGGGCTATTTTGGCAAATCCCGAGCCCGGTTCGAATTTATTGCGAGCCGGGCTTTTTGGCTCGAGGTTAAGCCCGCGGGCCCATATACTTGTTCAAGCCTGTCTGGGGGCCGGGCCGGGCGGCCCGTCGCCCGGCCCATGAACAGGTCTAGTATATACATATAATTTATACATACGTATATATCTTATTTTATATTATATTTTGTATTTTATATTTTATATATAAATATTATAATATGAGATCTATAAGATACATTATATATAATATATATATATAATTTAATGTACAAAACATATTTTATACACATGTTATATGACATAACTTGAAATATTATATGTTATATAATATTTTTGAACCGTCCAATTTGTTGAAATTCGTTTTGATTTAGATTGGTTTCAACCCAAACCCGATTTGTCCGATCCAATCTAATAAATATTTTAAACCAGGTCCAATCCAATCTAATAAATATTTTAGACCGAATTAGTCCAATCCAATATGTCTTGTTGGTCTGTTCAATCCATCCAAATTGATTTTGGACTGGAGGGGGTCCAATCCAAAACCGGTTCATTGACACCCTTACTTTCTATTAGGTAGTTCTTAATAGGTGGGATCATTGTCAGCCTACCCAAAAATTCCGGACTTAGGCCTAAGCTTTGTGTTTAGGCTCAAACTGGGCCTAACACATTGGACTCAGCCCGACACACATATATGTATATACATATAATATATACATATGTATATATCTTACTTATATTATATTATGTATTTATATTTTATATATAAACATTATAATATGAGACCTATAAGACACATTATATATAATGTATATAATTTAATGTACAAAACATATTTTATACACATGTTATATGACATAATTTAAAATATTATATGTCATATAATATTTGTGGACCATCCAATTTGTTCAAATTCATTTTGATTTAGATTGGTTTCAACCCAAACCCAATTGGTCAAATCCAATCTAATAAATATTTTAGACCGGATTGGTCCAATCCATTATGTCTTATTGGTCTATCCAATCCATTCAAGTTACTTTTGGACTGGACGGATTCCAATCCAAAACTGGTCCATTGACACCCTTACTTTCTATTAGGTAGTTTTTAATAGGTGGGATCATTTTCAGCCTGTCCAGAAATTTTTTATTTTATATTATATTTTTTATATATAAATATTATAATAAGACACGTTATATATAATATATATAATTTAATGTACAAAACATATTTTATACACATGTTATATGACATATAATTTAAAGGATAAATTAATATTTTTTAATCTCCATACTACCCTTATAATAACTATTAGGATTTAGGAGAAAAACACTGTTAATCTTCTCTAACCTCACGATACACGAACGAACCAGTTGCAGCGGCGCGGACTTCCGAAGTCCTCCCTCTGTCTCTCCCCTGATCTCTCTTCTTCCCCTTCCCCTTTCTCTCCTCTCCTTTCTTCTTTCTGATTTCCTCGGCATGATGGAGATCGTGAACGGCATGGTGGAGTGCCCGCGCAGAAGAGAGAACGTTGATCTGAATGGCCTCAAATCCGCAGCTTGTCACAAATATGGCCTCGCTCGTGGCCCCAAACTCGTCGAGATGATAGCAGCGGTGCCAGAATCGGAACATGAGTCTATGCTCCCTCGCCTCCGAGCCAAGCCCGTCTGCACTGCTTTTGGTATCACCATAAGTTTTGAGCTGGCAAAACTTCGTAGTTCCATCAACAGATGCTGAAATCGAACCAAGCAAATCCACTTCTCTTGAGGAATTACGGCCAATTCTTGCAAGAGGTACTTACTTGGCAGTTTGATTTACCGATGATGTTTTTACTCCACCTCATAATGTTGTTTTTATTTTTGGAATCTGATATGGACAGGTGGAGAAAGATGTGTCTAAAGTGGAAGAGTACAACGGAAGAGCTATATTGGCGAGTCTCGGAGACGGAGAAGTGTTGTCTCTGTACGAAAAAACTCATATGGGAGACGCATAGAGACCAAGATAGAGCTCAATCTTATTTCGACCAGGCAGTCCAGTCATCTCCCGACGGCTGGTATATACTTTAAATTCCATTATTTTTTTATGCGTAAATCCTGATAAACAAAAAGCAATAGAAGACGGGGGAAAAAGTTCGTTCATCATCGTTCTACATTTGGTTTCAACATTTTCCGTCAAAATCGATTTTCCCTATTTTTCTTCATTTTCTTTTTATTCTTATGATGATGAACCGTCTCCCATTGGGGTTAATATAGTGTGTGTGGTGGGTGGATCCAATCTTCAATCTTCAAAGTCTCCGACAGTCTCTATTATGCAGGACAAATCAATCCATCCTGAATCCCCACCGTTTGTGAAACGGTGTAAAAATCACTGAGATTAGTTTAGCCGTAGGATTCTTAGAATTGATAGTTGGTTACTGTAATTCATCTCAGATATGGACAATACTAGAAGCTGCGGATGGGCTTGGCTCGGAGGCGAGAGAGCAGAGACTCGCGTTCTGATTCCGGCACCGCCGCTATCATCTCGACGAACTTGGGGGCACGGGTGAGGCTATATTTGTGATAAGATGCGGATTTGAGGGTGTTTAGATCAGCGTTCTCTCTTCTGCGCAAGGGCTCCACCATGTCGGAGGAAATCGGGAAGAAGAAAGGGGATGAGAGAAAGGGAAAGGGGAAGGGGAAGAAGAGAGATAGGGGGAGAGAGAGAGACTGAGGGAGGACTTCGAAAGTCCGTCGCCGCTGCAACAGGTTCATGTATCGTGAGTTTAGGGAAGATGAACAGTAGTTATTATAAGGATAGTATGGGGGTTAAAAAATAGGATAAATTTCTTAAACTATCGTTATGATAACTCTATTCTTAATGTTTGAAAATTGATACCTTTACTGTTTTTTTATTGTTTCTGACAATTGATTAAATGTACCTTTAACGTTAAATATGAACGGAATAAAATGCCCATTATACCCCTATGCGAAATTATATTTTTATCCCTGTTTTTAACTTAACTCCCTGTCAGACAGGCTGCCATCGCTATCGTCACCGACGGCGGTCGCTGCAAATACCGAACGGCGGAGGTCCGATGGAAGTCGACTCCGGTCGACGACGAACGGTGCTAGAACCACTACGGATTTCTACCGAACGGCAGTTGTGCCCGTCTGAGAGAGCGCAACAAACGGCAGGATCCCACCTTCTCTCACCAATAATCCTCTGTTCCGTACACTGTTCGCGCATAGTTGCAGAAGCGTCAGTACTGCGAACTCTTTCCCTTTCACCAACCCCTCTTCGATCGCCTCAACCAAAACTACAATCCCTCCTTCTTCGACTATGGTAATTCTGCCCTTTGGAATTGCAGCTAAGCTGCTCAGAACCACCATCACCTTCTCCGTCAAACCGCTCCCCTGCTTTGAAATCAAGTCCACTAGCGGTTTTCGGATCTATTCTTTGCTAAGAGGCGCAATTTCGCTGGTTGAGCGTTTTACGGCAACAAACGGCGATTGAAGACCGTCCCCGTAGATCTTCATCGCTGGTTCAAGATTTTTCGAAGAAATGTTCTCGAAGATCTCTGATGAGAGATTCTCCCGACAGAAATCCTAACCATGGCTCAGGCTCCCGATCCGAGGATTCACACGTGTTGATCTTTAGACGATGGAAGAGAAGCCACCTTTGCGGCTCCCCTGAAATGTCGCTACTACAGGCCGAGAGGGATTAAGTTAAAAACAGGGATAACAATGCAATTTTGCATGGGGTATAACGAGCGTTTAACCTTTTTCGTTCATATTTAACAGTTAAGGGTACATTTAGTCAATTTTTAAATAATAAGAATAGAGTTAGTCAATTAATTAAACCATAAAATGAGTTTAAAAAATTTACCCTAAAAAATATTGCAACCACGGGTTTCAAAACTAACGAAAAGGAGTATTTGTTTCACAGTCATAATATAGGGGGTTTTTGTCACAAAACAAAGTACAGGGGGTCCTTTATCACAGACCCCATAGTAAGGAAGGTTCTTTGTAATTTATCCTAATTTAAAATATTATATATATTTAACATTTTATTTATAAAAGTAATAAGCCCAGCCTGGTTCAAGCCCGTGTAGGCTTAGGCCTGGGCTTATGTTTCAGGTCCAAAACCTGCTCCGGCCCACCCATGATCACCCCTCTTGCCATCCCATGGTGGACCCTGATTTCTTTTCCCGGTTCCCCTGGTACTTTTGTGGCGGTTACCATGCGATATTTGGATTTTATGGAAAAATGGTCCAACCACCACAAGGTTTAACTAGTGCCGGGTTAGTTCAACCCGAACCCGGTTGACAGTTGGGTTAGGGATATGATCAAAATATACGAGTCTGACTTGGGGGTGGGTTAGAGTTGAGGTTTTAGTCAAACCGGCCCAATCCAGTAACCCGATCCAAAATGAATCCAACATGTCTTCATAATGGCATATATCATTATATAAATATGTATATACTCATGTACTTGTATGTATGTTTGTATGCATACATTCGCATATTTATATACACGTGTATGTATGTATAATTTTAGTTTCATTTTTCTTTTGAAACACGACTAAATCCAAATTGAACCAATCCGAACCTAACCCGATCTAATGATCTAATCCGGCCTAATTTGCAACCCTACAGGTTACAACCCACAAGAATTGAAGACAGAAGAGCTTTACGTGTGCGTACCGCGCACTTGTGATTATTTTAGGGCCTAGCCTCCTAGAGTATTAAAGAGGGACTAAAACCAAAACACGAACCTGAAGTATACCCGAACGTTAAAACCGCTCTCTGCTCTCATTTCTCTCTCTCTCTCTCTCATGTATGTATTTCCCGGCGACTTCATAAACAAAAGAAATATTCCTTCTCTCTCGTCTCTGAAACCCCTCTCGAACTCAAGAAGAGGTATTTATTCTTCAATTCTTCCGCGTGCTGTCTGTGGAAAATCTAAAATTGCTTCACCAGAATTGGAGAAGAGGAAGGCAGAGCTTCGATCTGAGCTCTCCCGCGCAAGTCGTTCCACCTGATTAATGGTGATTCCGAGAGTTGCAGAAGGACAGATGCGGCAGGAGTTCATGGCTCGTGAAAGCTCGAGGCCCTTGCATAATTTCTTGTTGCCTTGCTTGAAATGGGGGAGGCAAAGGCGTCTTAGATGCATCAAAGTACGTTCAAATGCAGAAATCCCCTCGCTTGAGCGCGGATCCCCGGCTCCGGAAGCCGAAGAGGAAGATTTCATCGGTGGAAAAAAAGAGTACCAGTCATTGAAGCGGAGATATTCGAATGGCTCTGAAAGCTGTATGAAATGGCAGTTGCCTCCTTTTGGAGTTTCCGAGAGGATATCTAAGATTGAGAAGGATGGAGAAGACAGAATTGAAGCAATCAGGTTAAAACTCGAGTTTCATCTCCGTGAGGCTGCAGACAAGATGAATTTGGCGATTAAGCAGGACGGAGAAGAAGATGAACCATCATCGGCGGCGGCGGCGGCGGCGAGGCCGTGGAATCTCAGAACGCGAAGAGCTTCTTGTAAGGCTCCTAATGAAGCTGGAGGGGATTTGAAAAATGAAGAGAAGCAGCAGAATTCTTCTCCTATGCGGGCTGAGAATTCAACGATGAAATCGCTCAGGTCGAGAGGTTTAGTTTCACCTCAGTGTGTGGAGAAGAAGGGCCGTGCAAAGTTCTCGATCTCTCTTTCTCGCGAGGAGATAGAGGAGGATTTTGTCGGGGTAACGGGCACACGACCGCCTCGAAGGCCAAAGAAAAGGCCTAGGATCGTACAGAAGCAACTTGATGTAAGAAATTTATTTTTTTATTCCTTCTTTAGTTAATCTTGTTTTTGCCGGAAAAATTTCTGTTTCTTCGTCCTAATATTACTACAAGTACAATAAAATTTTCAGATCTTTGTATCTCAGTTTTTATAAATGAATCCGAGCGTGTTATTGGTGAATTTTGCAGATAATGTTCCCTGGCCTGTGGTTGACAGAAATAACGCCAGATACATACAAGGTTCATGATTTTCCTGAAACCAGAAAGGTAAATAGTATGCATTTCTCTTCTTCTTCTTCTTCTTCTTCTGCTTCTGCTTCCTTTCCTTTATTTCCTCACATTTTCTTTTTCTTTTTGGGTCATTTGGAATTTGTTCCTTGGTTTCTTTACTTTCCTCTTTATTTTTTATGAGTATACTAGCTCTGCATTTCGTCTACCTGCTAACTTAATACCGTCAACAATGGTTTTTGCAGAGATAGAGATACAACGACAGCAATTAGATGTTTCAAGGTTTTCGTTTGCTGACCTTTGCCGCATTGTGACCTCAGTTATGGTACTGCAAACCATCCATTTGTACATTAGGAATTCGACAGAAAGATGTTGAATTTCCTGGTAACCCGTTGTGCAAGTTAACTTGTTTTTAGATGCTAATTTCATTTACTGTGCTCATTCATTCCTGCTTCTAATATGAGGTTATTTAACATAAAGGCGACTATTGATCTTTGAGTTTTATTTTCTGAATAATAATGGCTAACAAATGATCATGGCAGTGAATACGTTTTTATCAGTTATATGGCCATCCTATTATTCCGTTTGCAAGCATCAAATTATTGAATTTACATTCAGGGGCATAATATTAGAGCATAATTTTCTTTTTAATTTTTCAGCCTTTTGGTTCATTTCACATTGAACTGAGATGAGATTAGAGTTAGTGGACTAGCTTGTTGGAAATCATTGATCTTGCATCTATAGACCCGTGACCATACTGTGATAAGCATAAAAATATTCATTTCATAATTGTTAAAACTTGTTGAGATCTTTTGAAGAAAAATTCAAATTATGAGATAGAATTTGATCTGATGACTGTTTCTTGGCGAATTTGTTATATTTTGACACTATCTTTGTAGAAAAGAAGTACTCAGCTCCATTTTGAATTCCTAATTTTTTCTAATTGGTGCAACTTGAGCCCATGATTGCATTCGACTTAAATATACAGCTGTTGAACTAGCAAAAGCTAGCCCACTTATCTACCGCAGTTTGTACTTTGTAATTGAGCAGTTGATGATTGTCTCCATAGCTGTTGGGTTCAATGTGGGTCAGGCTTCTTTCTGGTTTGATGGATGACATTTTCATGGGTGTTTAACCGGTGCTGTTTCTCATATACTCATATGCCTCTGCTCTCGGTCTTCCATGATGTTAGTCCAAGAAAAAATCCTAATTTGGCCCAACTTTCAGTTAGTATCAACCAAGACATACAAAAGTTCTGCTCGTCAGATAAAAAAAAAAAAAGCTCAAGTTCAATAGAAACAGAATATGGGTACCTACTTATATCTTGTGTGGATTACTGAGAATCTTTTTTCATGCAGTCATCTTAAGATGAACACATGCTTGAGAGTTTAGATATCTGCATGAATTAAGACTCTTCCTTCTCATGTCTATTTCTTGCATTTGATTTCTATGATCCGTTCGAGCTTTAACTTGATGGAGTGGAAGACTTTCTGCATGCTTATCTCAGCGTCAAGTTAAAATCTTTTTAGGCCTAAAACAAGTAGTTCCAGTTTATTGACTTTAGCAGTTAAGGAAAGAAAATGAAGAGAAACTTCAATGGTAGGATCCTTCATCCTTGGAGACAAGTTGGATTTAGCTTAAAATGAATGCCACCATAACTGGATCTCCACTATAACCTGAAAATGTTAAGGTTCTCAACATGAAGGATTGAGAGGAGCAGAGTAGAAATAGAGATGTCCTGTGTTAGTTTCTATTAAAAACTTTCCTCTCAAAGACGGTCTATTCATTGTCTGAGTTTCCAACTCTGCACCAATTGGAGGATTGTTACACCTACACGCTACAAAGGTTTGGCAAGAAGGTAATGGTGTGCATCTACTTTTCATGTATCTACCAAAGTGCCCTCCTGATTGGCTTTGTAGTAGGTAGGTATTTTCCCAGGGACCATGCCAATCCAAAATGTGCATTCATGAGACCACTTGGATGTGTGCCAATGGGATGACCATCCATTGCTGATAGTTTTCTTCATAAGTTAAAAAGAGCCCCATTTGCATCAGATGGTTGAGGTCATTGTACAATTTCCAGGATATTACTGTAAATGTCTGAATCAAACAGGTAGCCTGGACTTTGGATGGATGAATACATGCTGCTGCTAATTAAATTTAGTGTTAAATGATTTATGTGCATAGAGATCCTTCATCCTATATTTTGAATTAAACTGGTTTGGAGTCATAATAACTCTTTAACCTCTAGTCTTGTTCCTCTCAAACTCTTTAATCTGTGCATGGTTCTTACCCATTCATCCAGACAGATTGCTCTAATGGTTTCAAACCCATCCTTCTGGGCTTTATGCTTATCAGGCTGTATCCCATTTCTTGTGGTCTTGAATCCTGCTGAAAACCCTAAGTTAGTGATTCTGCGCACATTGTGTATGTTGACCAAAAATGCCTATTGTACGGATAATAGAGAGGATTGTGTAGAGAATGCACAGTATGGCTCCTTCGCTTTCTGGTTGATTCGCATTTTTTTTTGGACACCCACCATCTCGTTGGATGGATTTCATTCCTACGTGTTAATCTCGTCAGTTTTAAGCAACTAATTAAACAAACTACATCCCATCACCAGAAGCAGAAGGAATGGATCCGTCATCTCATCCATGGGTTGGTTGTGGCCCATCAAACCTTAATATGACCACCTTTTTTTTCTAGACCGGAGAAACATAATATAATAAAAAAGAGAGAAGAAAGTTTGGCCGTGTGGTGTGTGTGAATTGATTGAACCCCACTATGATGTGGTTAACCACATCGCACTCTTTAAGTTGTGGTGTGGAGATGTATTATTGGCAAAATTTTAAACAAAATAGTTCAGTCATTTATTACAGTACATATAATAATCATCCAATCATTCAATTTATCAGGGTCTGGATTGATTGACGAAATTTTAAATATTTTGTATGTCAAGATTACCCACAAATGGTTTTAAAACATGTCACAAACTCACAACACCCCTGTGAATTGTGAAAGAACGCCTGTTGCCTATTGCCCTATTGGTATTGGATGCAACGTGTTTCAAAAACAAGACAGTATGAAATAGTGGGTTGGGTTAGATTTAGGACTTATATAGTTTTGATCTCGATCTCCCCCGGTCTATATGGTTTTTCAATGTCAATAAAAAAACAAAAAACAAGGAATGGACCTTAACCCAAAAATTTTGACCTTAAAAAACTCCACATCTTCATATTTACTGATGTGGATTCGGAATTTGAATCAGAAAATTTCGACAGTCGACACGACTAAGCGAAGGCGGCCTTTTGAAGTCAGCCAGTTGACAACTTGACATTACTCAAAAGGTCAGCTCGTTGACAAAGAGGGAGATCATATATAAGACGCGCCCTATCATATTAATAGAGATGCCGTTCAGCGCATTGATCTACGCTGTCAAACGGACTGTTCTCTCCTCTGGCCGGCCATGATGAAAGTATGCGAGGAAAACGAGTACAGGTAAAGCTGTTGATAACTTTTTTCTTTTTTAAGATAAAGCGGTTGACAACTTGTTAGTGTAAATGTGAGATCATGGTTCAAAGCAAGGTTTTTAAAACCGGACCGGGAACCATTCTGAGGACCAGTTCATGGGTCGAACTGTCCAATCATTTGGTTTAAATTGATGGCCCGTTTTGATTAAAAAAATAAAATAGCTAAAAACTGTTGTTCAGGTCGATAATTCGACCATCCTGGACAGCGAATCATTGATTAAGTCAATGGTTTTAGGGTGAATGGTTATTTGACTGATTCCCAAATTTTCTGATCTGATCTGGTTTTGAAAACCATGATTAAAGTATTGATGCTACATATGTGTCGATTTTCAGCTTTACAAAATGCAAAGTACTGAGAGTCAGGGCCTTTTAATAGGTTTAAATATTGGATTTCCAAAGTAAGAGTAATAGGTTTAATTAAATATTATATTCATACTAATATGTCTATTAATAAATTTATCAAACTGAAAAAAATATATAAAAGAGGATGGATTGTATGAAACAGTAAAGGCATTAATACCCATCCGAACATTTATTTATTTTTATTCTAGAGGATCAATACATTGAATTATGTGTAAGATCTGAGCTTATTTTTGCTACGAGACAGGCATGCTGCTCTGGATCACTAAGTTACCTCATCTAATCAAAAGTGAGGCCATATCAATACATTAAAAGGTTTTAATTTCGTTGTATTAATCTTGTTTATACATTTCCTAATTTCGTTGTTCTAATCTTGTTTATACATTTCGGTAGGCTTAGTTTGGAAGGAGTATAAATGCAAATATGTAGAATATAAAACCTTATATTTTGTATTATTTTTATGTATTTGTATTTATTCTCTTTCCAAAATGAGCTGTATCAAAAATGGTTTGAAAATCTATCAAAGTATATATTGCTGTTTTTTTTTCTTTTTCTTTTTTAATTTTGCTTCATGGAGCTGCACAATAGAGATAATTTATCCCCATCCCCTTTACCACCTCTCCGATGAGGACAGATTTGGCCCTCTATTGATATCATGAAACATGGCATATCAGAATAGCTGGACTACATCCCAACATCACCTAGGTGACAACTAGCCATAACCAAAATGGGGTCCCACCTAGCAATCTACCTTTGTCGCCGACCTACCTTTGCCGCCGACCTAGCAATCTACCTTTGTCGCCGACCTAGCGACCTGGCGATTTGCCTCTACCGTTGACCTGGTGACCTGGCGATCTGCCTCTGTCACCGACCTGGCGACCTACCTCTCTAGAAGCTTGCTAGTTGTCTCCGAACCTTTCGGGATCACGATGTGTAACCATAGTCCTTATCCTCATCCCCCCCGAATTGGAGGGAAACGGTAATCCTTATTTATTGGCACGTTATCCTCGAAGGGAAACCATAGGCCTATGTCGCGGGCCGAGGATTCTGGGAGCGTTTCGCGAGACCCACAGCAGCCCAACTATATAAGGGCATCAATCCCTGAAACCCAGGTAGATGTGCAATTTAGTTCTTGCAACTCTCCATCTCTCTCACATTTAGCTATCTTAAAATCTCTGATTCGCTAACTTAAGCATTGGAGTACCCACCCCGGGTAAAGCAACCCGAGCATTCTGACACTGTTTCCTTGCAGGTCGCATCAGAGCCACCTTTCTAGCTCGTCACCATTCAGCTAGGCGTCCAAGCCATCTTCTAGGAAGGAACCATTCAGCTAGGCGTCCAAGCCACATTCCAGGTAGGGATTATTCAACTAGGCATCCGAGTCACCTACCAGTCAGGAGCTGCCAAAATGCACATCATCAATTGACGTCGTCTGTGAGAAATGCTACAAAAGGTTATGTTCTCACCTGATTCTCTAAGCCTCAAGTAATAACATCTTCAAGCAACAACAACAACGCTTGATCGAAAGAACCCCTTAGGGGGCAGAAGCAAAATGATTAGCCCAAACGAGTTCTCATAGTCTTGCCCGGACAGAATCTCCCTAAATTGTAAGGCCACCCCCATATGTCGAGCTCTACGTGCTCTCTATGAGAGTTGA